AATGTAACTCCTGCAATATCAATTAACACGGCCAACGAGAAATATATGGATGGTAAAAAAAAAGACGATGAGCAAACTACAGGATAAACCAATTTTGCCTATATCATCCACAGTAAAATAATCAATCCAGATGCATATTGGTGCAGCCCGCAAGCAACGGGAACAAACATCTGACTTCCAAGGCTACTATATAAAGACCGGAATACTCTCATACCCATTTTCTTGTTACCCCACTTCCATTAATTGACTCATCTGAGATCTCAATTTGGAGAAGATTGCAAATATTACAAACAAGAATGCACTACATAACCAAATATTAAAAGGTATAAATAAGTGTGCTACGACAAAAGGTGAGCTCGACGTAAACACCAGGTAGAATGGCCGTATAAGCATCAGTTATTCAGTTTCATTGACCTTTGTATCTTATCATATTGCTTCTTGCAATTGATACAATAGACTGATTTAACAAAAACAAGCAAACATCTTAGCTTGAACAACTGTTCGAGTAAACTCTAGATCATGATGAAGAGCTTCCATTTTCGAGCTGAAAAACACCCCAAACAAACCCTACGAATATGAGAGCATTACTCAGATGTAATCCATCTGAGTTCTGATACATCGCGACCTGAATCAACCTCATAATCCACAAAAATCAACACCTTACCCAAAAAGAAAACACTAAATCTAATTCATAACCCTATGCATAGGGGAGGAAACCCCAAACCCTAACCCTAACAGGCAAATAAACACACGCGCACACCAACCAATAAGGACGACTCAAAGTCTCAAACGCATATACCTTGGCGGAATTAGCTATGCTGGAAGGATCTGTGTGGATACCATTACTTCCATCGGGATTACCGTAATCCTCGTAGGAGCACAGGATATCATCGGACCCGAAATCGAACGCTTTAGAGCCCGAATGGCTAGCCCGTCCCGAAGACCCCGACGCCATGGCTGCTTGAGGTTGAGAGCGATACAGGATTGACAAGAGATGTGTGTAGGTTTTTGCTTGGCTTGCGAGCAATCGAAAAGGAAGCAGAATGGTTGGAATTGAATATTATTTTTCAGCGTGTGTTTGCGTAGCTTTGTGGTTTTCAATCGACAATTCAACAAATGTCGTAACTTAAAAGGAGATTGAAAGATGGAAAGAAAATGAAGTCGTCCACGGAGGGTACAAAAATTCTAAGGAGTCATGGTTTTTTTTAGTCATCAATCATTTAATGTATTGACACATGTTTAAAGTGTATTTATTATAGGACACGTGTCAATATACTATTTGTGAGTAACTGTGGATGACTCCATAAGTCGAGTCATCTGATGGCTCCAAAGCAAAACTGGGCTAAAGTAACTGATCTGGAGGCTAGATAATCAAATTACAGAAAAAATAAATTACACTATTAAAAGGGTAACCAGCCACTGATCCATGAGATCCTAGCCAGAAACAGAAAAACAAAAACAGCTAAGCTCCAGAGAACAAACTAAGATGAAAGCAGAAACAAGAAGCAGCTAACCTAAGCACATAAACAAAGAAAAACTAAAGAAAAGCAGCTAATCAACCAAATCTTCCTTCAGAAAACCTAACCGTCGTCCGATTTCTACCGCCTCCTTACATCTGGAGCTTGGATAGCTCGCAGAGATGACCGGCACGTGCGTGGCCCCTGCCTTTCTTCCTTCTGTAGGGTTCGTCTTCTCCGGCGCGGCAG